CTCACTCTCAGGAATGCAAGGAGAAAGCTTATTGCACGTGTTCAAATGTTAAAAAATCGAATGTTCTCGTTGAAGTTGAACACAAAGATTGGGAGTTGCAACATTGGTGTAATGGAAGATGAGTCATGGAAATGGCATCTTCGATATGGCAATCTTCATTTCAATGGCCTAAAGTTGCTGTCAAGTGGAGGAATGGTTCGTGGTCTACCCCAGATTGAAGCCACACGCCAAGTATGTGAAGGTTGTGTGCTTGGCAAGCAAGCACGACTATCATTCCCTGTTGGTGATACATGGAGAGCAAAGGCACCACTGCAGATGGTACACACGGATATATGTGGTCCATTGGATCCTATGTCTTATGGAGGCAATAGGTATTTTATTACTTTCATTGATGATTTCAGTAGGAAGACTTGGGTTTATTTTCTCAAGGAGAAGTCGGCTGCCCTAAGAATCTTCAAGGAGTTCAAGGCACTCACAGAGTCTGAAAGCAACCATAAGCTTGTGGCTGTGAGATCAGATAGAGGTGGAGAGTACACCTCCAATGTTTTCCAAGCATACTGCAAGGAGCAAGGAATTAGGCATCAACTGACTGCTGCCTATACCCCACAGCAAAATAGGATAGCCGAAAGAAAGAATCGAACCATCCTTGACATGACAAGGTCCATGCTTAAGGAGAAGAATTTGCCAAAAGAATTGTGGGCAGAAGCTGTAGCTTGTTCGATTTATTTGTTGAATCGATGTCCAACAAAGAGTGTCAAGAGGATGACACCACAAGAAGCTTGGAGTGGATACAAGCCGAGTGTTGCACACCTAAGAGTTTTTGGGTGTGTTGCATATGCTCAAGTTCCAGAAGCCAAAAGGAGAAAGCTCGATGATCAAGGTGAAAAGTGTGTGTTTGTGGGTTATAGTGAAGAGTCCAAGGCATACAAGCTCTACAACCCACTAACTGGCAAAATAGTGGTTAGTAGAGATGTCATCTTCAGTGAGGAAGAGGCATGGAAGTGGAACAACAAAGAAGTCAGTAAAGAGAAGATTGTCTCCACTGTTTTTGAAGAACCAGAAGTTATACCACCTGTTGAGCAACAGCCTGCTCAAACAATCACAACAACTCCAGTGCACAGAATTGCAAGGAGTGGTCCTACATCCAGTGAAGAAAGCAGTTCCTCAACTCCAGTAAGGCTAAGAAGTCTCACTGAGATATATGGACAAGAAGAAGAAGAAGAAACCAACTTTTTCTGCTTGTATGCAGACCACGAGCCTCTCTCATTCAATGAAGCTGTGGAAGAAGATTGTTGGAAGAAAGCCATGGAAGAAGAGATCCATGCCATCGAGAAGAATGACACTTGGGAGTTGACAAAGCTCCCACCAAATCAGAAGGCTATTGGTGTCAAGTGGGTGTACAAGATCAAACGCACTGCAGACGGGAGTGTGGATCGGTACAAATCAAGGCTTGTAGCAAAGGGCTACAAACAGAAGTATGGAGTGGACTATGATGAAGTCTATGCTCCAGTTGCAAGACTTGACACGATAAGATTGCTAATCTCTCTTGCCGCTCATTATAAATGGAAAATTTATCAACTAGATGTCAAGTCAGCCTTCCTTAATGGAGTTCTTGAGGAAGAAGTGTACGTGGAACAACCAAAAGGCTTTCAAGTACAAGGAAAAGAAGATAAGGTGTATCGTTTGAAGAAGGCTTTGTATGGCCTCAAGCAAGCACCACGAGCTTGGAACTCAAGGATTGACAACTACCTTCACCAAAATGGATTTCAAAAATGTCCATACGAGCATTCAGTTTACATGAAGAATGGTGCAAAAGGGGAGTTCTTAATTATTTGTCTCTATGTAGATGACTTGTTGTTTACAGGAAACAATGAAGCAATGTTCTGTGAGTTCAAGCAATCCATGTTCAGTGAATTCGAGATGACTGACAATGGATTAATGTCATACTTTCTTGGCATAGAGGTGAAGCAAGAAAGTGACGGTATTTACATCTCTCAACAAAAGTACATGAGAGATATATTGGAGAAATTCAATATGGATAAGTGCAATATTGTCAACACTCCAGTTGCAACTGGATTGAAGCTATCTAAAGAAGGAGAAGGTGAGTTTGTAAACTCAACCGTGTACAAAAGCTTGGTTGGAAGTCTAAGGTACCTTACAATCACAAGACCTGATATAGTTTATGGAGTTGGACTCGTGAGTCGGTACATGGAAACATCAAGGGAGTCTTATTAGCTGGCTGTCAAGAGAATCTTGAGGTACATAAGAGGTACTCTAAACTATGGTCTGTTTTATAATTTTGGTGAAGATGCAAAATTATTTGGTTATTCAGATAGTGATTGGGGAGGTGACCAAGATGAAAGGAAAAGCACAACTGGCTATGTGTTTTTTCTAGGATCAACAGCTTTCTCATGGACTTCAAAGAAGTAATCAATTGTTGCTTTGTCATCATGTGAAGCCGAGTATGTTGCTGTAGCCTCAACAGTGTGTGAGGCAATTTGGTTAAGAAATCTATTGAAGTCAGTGTGTCATCCACAAGTGGAATCGACTGTGATTCATGTGGATAACATGTCTGCAATCAAGCTTGCAAAGAATCTTGTTCAACATGGAAGGAGCAAGCACATTGATACCAGGTTCCATTTTCTAAGGGATCATGTAAAGCAAAAGACAATCGAACTTGTCTATTATCACACGAAGGAACAAGTGGCAGACATCTTCACTAAGCCACTACTAGTTGAATCATTCCGGCTGCTACGTGAAATGCTAGGAATGAAGGCGTTTTGATTTGAGGAGGTGTGTTGGAAATTCAAATCAAAACAGGTTGTAAATGGCAGCTGCTAGCTGTTAGTTTCTTTATAGGTTGTACTCACACTTGCTGCAACTACAAAGACTAAAGTTTCCTCCATGTGCTAGCTGAAAGTGTGTTGAAAGACAGCAGAGATGTGAGCTGTTGTGTGCTAGCCGAAAGGTTGTGTTTGCAAGCTGGAAGGATGCAATGTATGTGTGTGCCAACTATCCAAAGTTGCTGCATGTGTTTGAAAGGGTGGAAAGATGGTAAACACCATCATTCATTGTATGTGTTGTTGTATTGTTTATCAATTTCTGTTTTGTATAAATAGGCCTTCTTGCTAGGCTTTAGAATATCAATTCCACTCCAATTCCTTTCTCATTTTCAGCTTGTAAGCTATTGAGTTTGTAAACTCTCTTTTCATATATCAAAGTCCAAGTGTTTTGCCAAAGCTTATAGCTTCCCTCCTTTCTATATTTCTTTGTCCAATTTTATTGAGAGTGCAAAGTGAGAGGTGTGATAGAGTTTGTAAACTTATCACCCACATATTTTGGTATTGAGTTAGTAAACTTTTCAATACCAACACAGAAGACACAATTTGGTAAATTCAAACCTGTTTGGAAAACTTTTACAAAAAAGACTTTCTACTAGCATATATGTCCTCACATGCAATATCCCTTCACAAATAAGCTTCAGTACTAACGTTTACAGTTTTCACATATAAGCACTTTTAACTTAAGGAAACTATCTCAAGCTGTAAGAACATATTATATGGGTACACTAAAAATGCACAAACATTATGGTGGTCAAGATTGTACACAAGGATATAACTGTTGCCCAAAAGCAGGAAATATAATGAAAAGTCACAAGAGATGCAACCTGTTTATCCACCCTGAGAGTATAGGTTTGTGAATCCAATGTTTTAATTTTCATCTCAATAGTGGCTTCGGACCCTTCAACCTGCTCATCCATGGGAATATGTTCAGTACCATAACCACCCATTCTCCTCAGACCGCAATGAACCTGCAAAAGAGAAAGAGTATAAACTATGAAACAGCTTTCTCTCTCCATTATATTAGAGGTTGGGATGGGGAAACTTGAACATTCAATCGACTACTAGTTTATATAATGACATTTATAATCGAAAAACATGAAAAACAAAATGAGAAAAAGGAAAAACCATTAATGTTATAAGGCATGCCCATCTCTACTTAACCAATAACACAAAATTGTAGTAAAAACATGGGTAGCAATTCTTGATTAATTCCCAAACCACCACAAGTATTTCCAACGAAAAACTCGAATGTCCAGTCCAACATATATACAATACTTTTGATTTTCCATAACCTAAGCCAACTTCAAAACATGATTTTGTATAAATACAAACCCTTTCTCCCTATTCTCAGTTAACAACATTGCACTAAATAGTCTGCACACATGCAAGGCATAGCATAAATGTTAGTATAAGGGCATTCATTACAGTTAAACGCCCCATCGCATCAAGAAAATTTATGACCAAAATCTACTGATCACCACAAGCAACATGTAACGGAACTATAAGAAAAGCAACAGCACTCATATCACAATTTCCCATTCTCTTTTTTCTTTTCATTGGCAGCATCCATGACCCTTTTGACTTTGATCCACTCTCACTAGCCAGCATGCATAAAACTTTGTTCGATTTTTGCAGGCCGAAACAAGATTTGGTTTTGTTTGAATTTAAGAACTTCGAAGGAAGTGAACAACTCAATTCCCATTCTGAGCAAACCCTATTTTTATGGGAACGATTTAGTTTGGAGAGAGTACAAGATAACCTTGTAAAACATCACACTTCTCATCGATGCAGATTGCTAATGGTTCTCGTTATTTCCGTTAGCCAAATAAGTGTGATCTTGATCCAGCTGCTTAGGGAACTGTTTCGATATAAGAAGGGCCATCGGATTGTGTTTAAGGAAACTGAGGGGTTCAGATTAGAAGAAGATCAAGAGAAATAAAATTAACCAAGAAAATGATGGTGTGTTCCATTCAATTCCCTATAATCCCATCCATTCAATTATGTTCAACGGCTCAGATTTCCTAACTTTTGTCCCTGATCAATTGAGCGGCTGCGATCTTCGTGGATTTAGTTTTTCGAGAGACAGAGTCTCGATCAACATGGAAAACCACCATATATACTATATTTTCTTCTATTCCTATTAAATTCCAAATTACTCTCTCTCATCTCATCTATTCAAGAGCAACGATGGAGACCAAAGAGGAGAGAAGCTTCATGGATAAGGTAATAATCAAGTGGTACGAAGATCCAGAAGTCCTCCAGATGGTGAAGAAGAGGTTAGTTTGGCCGTCCGTTGAAGGAAAACGAAGCCGGATTTTCTAATATGCTCCGGTGCAAAGTTTTCGATGTATGAGATACACTAGATCATACTAGAATTTTCAAAAACAAGGATATACAAAACATCCTCATATCCAATTCAAATTTATTTAAAAAATAAAACAATTTGATCGAGTTCTAAGTCTTCGCTCTTTTTGTTTGTGCCTAGGGTTTCAACAGCGACAGCGATGATGGAGATCGACAGCATGAAGGACGTCACTGCTGGTCAGAAGAAAGTCAAGTGGTTCGAGAATCCAGAGATCCTCCAAATACTGAAGACGATGTTTGATCCTTGGCTGAACGAAGATGGCATGCCTGACGCCACCTCTTTCTTCAGCCGTTGCCCTAGAGGCTTTGGTAAATTTTTTCTCTTCTTGTTAATATATACAACAGCAACAACCGAGTATTATCACAATAAGAGCTGTTCTGTTTTGTGGCATGTCTTCTTATTACTTCTTGTTAAGTGGAATCGATTGTACATATCCTAAAACGCTAGCGCGTGCGGTTTTACGTAATGTATTTCATTAATTTTTTGTTTGTAACTTAATATATAATATATTATCCTCACTGTTATGAGACTTGCAGAAGAGAAGTTGGTGCGGCTCTACTATCGAGATGATCCAGACATCCGCCGTATGACGGACAAGAGGTGGGGCCCTCAACTGGACGAAGATGGCAAGCCTGAAGGCCCCTCTCTACGCAGGATCTATCCAAAATGCTTTGGTACCTAATTATATCAGACTTAATTTTGTTTAGTTTCCATTACAAGAACTTTTTTTTTGCAAATTGTTAATTAATTATGAATATTTCTTTTCAGAAAAAGATTTGCTTGAAGCTTGGCCGACGTTGAAATCTACTTTAGAAGAATACGGCATTTTATGCATAATTGATCTGGTATATAATATATATATATATTTGAGTTTGTAAATTTTTATTAGATGACCAATGTTTGGAAAAGTTTTTCAGTATACCAGAAATAAGAACACGATACACCAAATGACATTGTTATAATACAACTAATTGAAATTTTTTTTCTTCATATTTCTAATCAATTATATTATTGTATTAGTACACCTTATTACCAGACTCTCTTCCGAGCACACTCTCTAATGTGTAATTGACATATTAAATTAGTTTATTTCAATATTTGACAGGTTTTTTGTAACCTAGTATTCAGAACAACCAAGAAAACAGACCCAGATATTATTCCCAAGGCCAGGGATCTTGTTGACCTTTTATCAAAGAGTATTCCTATACCTCTGGTAATATATATTATATATACTTTGATTTTTTTACTTGAAAACTTAATATAATTATTGTTTCATGCAACTCCTTTTTTTATCTGTATCTCCTATATAAATATTTAAATTTCAGCACACAATATTTTGATTTCAGGCAATGAAAGTCCTGGGTGAAATTCAGTATGAAATGATCAGGATTGGGCATATAAGTGGTGGTCTTTGCATAAAATTTGGGATCACGCGGGTGAGTATTGCTTATCTCTCTCTCCTTCTATTTTTAATTTTTAGAGTGAGTAAACTGTTATTGGACGGAATCTACTGACAAGGGGTTAATTAACTAATTCAAATAAGTTTATGTCCTTAATTTTTCAAAAAAAAATCATGGGGGAGGTGGGGGTTGTCATTCTCAACTAGGGTGTTAGTTTAGGGGTCAAACGTCCGTACGGTATACCTTTTTGGGAACTTAGTGTTTGTTATTCATGGAAAGTTATGAATAACTTTTACCTTATGGTTGGATGAGGGCTTTAAAGTTTTATGGAGTTTAGGTTAGATGTATTACAGATGCACCACACAAGTTGAATAGAGACTTAATAATGACCAGATGCAATACATTGGAGAGAATTTTAAACGATTATCGGATTATGTTATCCCCAAAGTCCTTTGCTTAGTGTCGTATGTGCATTTCTACTGTTTAAATTGTAGCATTTTATTGTTCGAGTAGTTCATGGTAATGTTTGTGTAGTGCATTTATAATTACCGTTGAGTCTTATTGGTATTTTGAAAGTCCCTCATTCTAAATATAGGGTTATCGCTTATTCATGAATGTCTCACACTTTTGGTAATTTTTTGTTATTGACCTTCTTCAATTCATTAGATACAACAACCAAGAATTAAAAAAAAAGTGTAAAAAGTGAGAATAGATGTGTAGATAATACTAACATTGATGAAATTCAAGTTTCTGAGAATTGGTTAGTTGGGGTTATTGAAACAAAGATGTAACGGTGAAATTGTGTGCGTGCAGGACCAATATGTCGAACGACGGAAGCTTCTCATGGGTCCCTCAGGCTTAGAGGTGCATAAATTATTTGTAATCACGTTTTACTCATCTTTTGTTTGGGAAACTAAATTATGAAACAAAAGGATAAACTCTAATGAAAAATTATGTGTACAGAAACATAAACCTCGTTTGGTAGTGCTTTTAAAATGACTGAAAATGTTTCTAGTGAAAAAAAGTTGTGAACAAATCTTTAGTGAAAATGCAAGTGAAAGTGCTTTTAGAATACAAAAATATTTTCTCTAAAAATGTTTTTAATCAATTTAAAACACTTACAAACAAGTTCAGAATTGTTCATGTTTGCTGTATCTCTAAACTTTCCTAACACAATTGTAGGCAATTGCAGCACAGCTAGACTGCCATGTTTTCTTCCGCGTAAGTGTTACTATTCCCCTTTTGTGATTATATGGTTTTACTAATTGTACGTTTGTTTGTTAGGTTTTTCACCTCCATGTGAGGAGATAGAGATTTTTCAATGCCCTTAGAACACGACTTATTATAAAAGTGTAGTATACAAGTAGTTGGATGTTTGAAAAAAATTCAACCACTTGTGTTAATGACACTTTATACATAAACCGTATTTTTGAAGCATTAAAAAAAAATTCTCGTAAGTGGGGAATGATGAAATTAATAAATTTATTTTGCTCGTAAATGAACAGGAAGATTATATCATTGCTTTAGGTCCATTGCGTTGGTTGAAATTAGTAAAGAAAATTGCGGGAGATTGCATTCTTCACAAAGTGCGTCCGACTTGCATTATCAACACGATGAAACGTGACGCGCGAGTGATGCAGAGTTTTAAGCATTTGCATTTATGAAGGATTTCATATATATCATTGTGAAACCCTAATACCAATTCACATGAAGAATATTAGTGTTCCAACTTAAGTATTTGTGTTTATGTTTTTAGCTTTGCTACATTGTTAGTAGTAACGATTTTCTTTAAGAAAATTTCATTCCAAAGCACTTCAGCCACAATAAAAAACTTGTCCGACTGGCAAGAAAGTTTGCCTGAATAAGTTCAAAGTTTCCCAATCTCTTATATTTATTTGATAATTATTTAACGTCATTTCATTTCTGTTCTTTTTTTTGTTTGGAAGACAAGATATATCATTATCTGGGCAAAGATGCCAAAGTTACAGAAAAGCCTACACCGAGGCAAACAACTGATAAATACTAGAAAAGAGTAGTGCGAGAAGGTCGCATGCACTTAGGGGGGGCATGGAAGGTCACATTATAACCACGACGTAGTATCTAATGCTAGAGCGTCCCTCCTCACACTACCATATGCACTTAGGGGGGGGGCATGGAAGGCCATCATTACACAGAACATGAACAAGGGAAGATGGGGGTCTATCAACCCACACGAGATCACATATTTCCTTATAAATCGCGACGCCAAATGGTCCGCTGTTGAATTGGCCAATCTTGGAACCCAAGACCAGCAGCAATCAAGAAAATCCTTTCCCAATTTACAACACTTCACAAGAGTGGGGAAGGCATCCCAATTGCCTTTCATTGCCATGTCCCTAAGGCAAGAAATTGATTCCCAAGAGTCGTACTCAACAACAATCATATTCCAGCCCCTTCTCTTACCTAGCATACACCCATACATGATAGCTAAAGCCTCCCCCATAGCCGCACTTATAGCCTTACACCGGATCTGCAAGCTGCTAGAAACATTCCTTCCTCATCCCGAGCCACTACCCCCGTAAATCCCTGACCATCACTAGCTCCCCAACTTGCATCCACATTAATCTTTACGATGCCCGAACTCGGTGGAGACCAACAAACACCTTCATTTGTCTCTTGCACTCTGGGCGTTGGCGAAGTGGGTGGCTCACATCTTGCCTCTGAGAAGGTAGAAGCCAACAAAGAGATAGCCATAATAACTTGTCTAGGGTAAATTTGTTGTTGGTTGAATTGAAAATTACACCTAGCTTTCCATATATGCCAGCATGTAAAGGTAATATATGAAAACATATTATTTCTCACCTCCTTCCTTAGCTGAGTCATACATTTGAAGCAACCAGTTCACCCAAGTTGTAATCTCCGTCCGGTTAATCCTCAAGCTCAAACTTCCCCCAAACCATATAACTGCCACCCACGAGCACTGCAGAAATAAATGCTCAATAGACTCATCTTTCACCATACAAATAGGGCACAATGGAGAAGAGGAAGATCTTCTTTGGTATAGGTTTGCCATTGTAGCCATAGCCGCATGAAGGGTCTTCCACATAAAGCATTTGATTTTTGGAGGAACCTTCAATTTCCATATACACTTCCACAAGTAGTCCGGAACAGAAACGTTAAAGCCCCCTTGGGAGAGATTTCGAGTAACTGCCCATTGATATCCGGATTTAACCGAATATATCCCCTTTTTATCAAAATGCCAAACCAACCGATCCCGCAACAAAGGATCGCCAATATGCGTCTCGAGGATTGCGTCAAACTCTGACATCACCATGAAAGGTTTCAAAAAGTCAATGTCTCACTCCCCATTCTCAGGGCTAATTAGCAAGTTAACCATAAAATGTTTTGAAACCTGCACCGTGCCCAAGGGGGAATGTCTTCCCGAAGGAATAAACGAGATCCATCTATCAACCCAAACCCTAACCTCATTTACACTCATAACCTGCCAATGACCTCCATTACATAAAATGTCCCTTCCAGTTACGAGACTCAGCCAAGCCCAAGAGGCTCTCCCGCCCCTTTTTGCATTCATGAAAGAACAATTAGGGAAGTACCGGGCCTTCAGCACCAATGCCCACAGTGAATTCGATACCACAATTAATCTCCAACACTGCTTCGCCAACAGAGTATCGTTAAACATCTGAAAACTCCTTAGACCCAAACCACCCCTCTCATTCGCCCATCCCAACTTCTTTCTAGATACCTAATGTATTTGGTTCTCACCATCTTTTTGCCCCCACCAGAATTTTGAAATCATGGCATTTAATTCATTGCAAAGGGATGTGGGAAACTTGAATAAATTCATTGGATATGCAAGGATTGTTTGCGCCACCGCCTTTATGAGGACCTCCCGCCCTGCTTGAGAGAGAGCAGCTTTCTTCCAACCTCGGAGTTTTCCCATTAATCTTCCTTTAACGTATGCTAGCCTAGTTTTCTTTGATCGGCCCCAAATGGCAGAAACTCCCAGGTATAAACCAGGATTTTCAACCCTCTCCATACCAAGAATATTCACCAATTGTTGGGATAAAGACTTAGGCACATTGGTTCCAAAGAAGACACTTGACTTGGACTTGTTAACCTTCTGACCTGATGCCAAGTAATAATCATCAATCACTTGGGTTAAGTGTCGGCAATTCTCCTCCTCAGCCCTTAGAAAAATCAGTGTGTCATCAACGAAAAAAATGTGGGATATTGTCGGGCCAGGCTTGCTCATTTGAACTCCTCTAAGCCAACCTCGATCACTTGAATGTTGTATAAGAAGTGATAAAACTTCACTTACTAACAAGAAAAGATAAGGGGAAGGTGGATCTCTTTGCCTAAGACCCCTTGATGGCGCAAACTTTGGTCCAGGTTGACCATTAAGAAGGATTGCAAAATTCACAGAAGAAATGCAACCAATGATCAAGCTTCTTCATCTACAATCAAACCCCATCTTCTCCATCACCGCCATTAAAAAATCCCACTCCACTCGATCGTAGGCCTTGTGCATATCCAATTTGATACCCAACTCAAACTTGCTTTTCGCTTTTCTCGTTTTCAGAAAATTGAATATTTCATGTGCAATTTCAATATTATCTTGGATTTGCCTTCCTGCCACGAAAGCGTTATGGGTTGGGGAAATCAACTCTGGAAGAATTAATTTGAGGCGGTTTGCCAAAACCTTTGAGAGCACTTTATAAGAGTAGTTACATAAACTAATGGGCAGGAATTGGGAAACTGTTTCCGGGTTATGAACTTTCGGTATCAACACCAAATGAGTAGCATTGATCCACTTGGGATTTTCCAAACCATGCATCAATTCTCCGATGATTTCATTCACATCAGAAGCAAGAATGTCCCAATGAGCCTGATAGAAGATCCCTGAAAAGCCATCAGGTCCATGAGCCTTTAACCCACCCATCTGTAAGGCTGTAACCTTCACTTCATCTACCGAAACTGTAACTGAGAGGAATGCATTCATTTCATTAGTGACCTTCGTGTTCACACGGTCAAGGATTTCTCCCCATTCACGCAGCCCCAAAAACTTGAATAAATCCACAAAATGCTCATCCACCATCTTTCTAACCTGATTTGGGTTATCAATCCAATCCCCGTTGCTATTTTTAAAGTCACCACCTTGTTTCTTCTTCTTCTCTAAAGGGTAGACTGGTGAAAGAACTTTGTGTTGGCATCACCATCGTTTAGCCATTGCACCTGAGATCTTTGCTGCCAGTAACACTCTTCCTGCCTCCATAATTGGTCAACATTTTTGGAAAGAGACCCAATTTCCTCTGCGTTCTCTCTCTAATTCTGCTGGAGGCCACCCAAATTGTCCACAATCGCCTTTATCTGCTTCCCGCGATTTCTGAACTTTCTAGTGCTCCAACTGATTAATTTGGCATGACAAGCATTAATCTTGAAGTTCCATCTCTCCATAGGATTCCCCTCCCTTGTAATATTCCACAATTCTCACATAATTTCTTTACATTCCCTATCCTTTGCCCAAAAGACCTCAAAGTGAAACAACTTTTTCCTTTTTCGAAGTTGTGGCTCACATAATTCCAACACTGGACTATGGTCGGACCCTAAGGTCATGCCAATTTTAACTGAGGTATTCGGCCAAAAAGATTGCCAACTAGCATTCACTAACCCCCTGTCTAACCGAGCCTCCACCAGCTGCCCATTTCGTGTCCCCTTCCAAGTGTATTTGGGGCCATTAAAACCCAAATCCATAACCTCTACCTTGCACATAAACGCCTCTAAGTATCTAGGCCGGTTGTATCTCACTTATGCTCCCCCCGATTTCTCATGGTCCTATAAGATTTCGTTAAAATCCCCTCCACAAATCCATGGGATATTATCCGGACTAAATTTATCTATCATGCCCCTCCAAAATTCCTTTTTCTCCTCCCTATACGACGTCCCGTAACTCCGGTATACCGAAATCTAGACTGTGAGTCAACCAACCTACATCCAGCGTCAATGAAATGCTTTGAATAGTCCACCACCTCCATTTGGACCGAATCCTCCAACCAAAGCTAAGACCTCTCGCTCTCCTAACTGGTGCAACGTCAAACCCATTCGAGTACCTTATACGTCTTCTTACTCCTGTTATTCTGTGATCATTCATTTTTTTTCTGAAAGAAAGATCATAAAGGGTCTATGTTCCCTAATTTGCCCATGTAGGGCACGAACCACCATGTCCGACCCTAGACCAGGGCAGTTCCAAAAAAGGTGTATCATGGCGATCTTGCGGCTGTTGAAAGCCAACCGCCACCACCTCGGGATGAAGTACCCGCTTTCTTTTTCATCAAAGTTCATTCTCACCTGCAGAGATCGCCTCCGTGTATTCCCACATGTCTTGATACTCGATCGGGACTTCCTATAATTCATCATCCGCATATATCGCCATTTCCATCATCATGCATCTTTCTCTGATGGTCATCTTTCCCAATCTCTCCGCAGCCCTTTCTTTTATTTCTCTTTCTTTTTTTGTTTCTTCATCAGTTTTTGTTTTCTTCTGAGATAAGAACTTCACCTCCTTACTCACACTTTCCAACTCTCGCTTACTCTTACTTCCCATCCCCTCCATAGCTTGGCCTAAGACACTCATGAATTCCGCCCTCTCCATACTTTGAGCAGTCATCTAATGTGTCTGTGAACTTTGACCATGGTTATGCAGCACCATTGTTCCACCCACATTTGGTAAAAGATTCGGTTCTAGTATTTCCTCAATCAATACAGATGGGATTCTTCCATACTCATTTGGGACCCCCCCCCCCCCGATTCAAAGCCCACTACTAGGCAGTTCTGCC